ACACTAAACCCCCAGTTGCTCCCGGTGATGTCACCGGTGTGTGAATGCATGAGTGCTTGGGAGTGCGAATGGGTGAATGGCCAAATAATGTGACAGCGCTTTGAGTGTGCTGTAAAAGCATAGAAAGGCACTATACAAGTATAAGACCATTTACCATTTAAGCAATAACAATTCATCTTGTACTTACCATCTCAGCAGTAACATTAGCTTACTGCTGAGGATGTGTCATAATTATAGAGAGGCTGAAAGCTTGTGATTAAGGAGTTTTACTCCCAAGACAATGACCTACAACCATGATGAATCATCACTGGGAGAGAGTGATTTATAATCAATGTTTTCTTCAGAATTGTCAGGCAAGGTGGTTCTGGGCTGTGGTGTCCTCAAATGAAAGTGATGTGACCACTTGAAACCTAAAATTACAAGATGTACGCTACCAATAAATCACCAATAAAACATTTTGGGAAAACCTCACAGTAATGCAGTCTGTAACTGGAAAATATACTGTGTTTTATCACACATGGCTCTGACACAGCATCATACCATTTGTTTTCATGTGGAGAGTATAGTGGGTTTGACAAAATGATGCAGGGATAGATGGCTGTGGACTTCAGCTCTTGGCTTGATTGACCTGTGAGCATGAGAAGGTGGAGGAGAAGTAGAAGGCAGAGTGGATTATAGGCAGCAGGAAGAGCAAGGGAGAGGAGTGAGAGAGAGCGTATCAACCAACTGCACTGCACATATTTCTCTCCTCATCCAGCCTGCATCTGAAGAGCACCCTAGAAGCTCTTACCTGAAATACTTGTCAGCTTATTATACATGCAAACAAACAAATCTACTCTCCCACACTCTTCCTGCCTCTCCCTTTCTCTTTGCACCCGCTCTTTTGCCACAGTTTCTTTGTTAAAGACCACCTCCACTCGAAATCTCTGTTTCCTTTGTTTTTTGCCCGGTAAATATCTGCCTTCTGCTATAATGACCGGTGTATGTGCACGGTTTTGAAATTCCTCTGCTATCTGTTTGCTCCCCTGAAATCTGAGCTTCAAATGTGGACAGCAAACAGAATTTATGTTGCCACAAACCTGAAATCCAGTCATGTTTCACTATGTAAATATCTATAGATTTCAGGTATGCGGTGAGAAAGAGCAGTCAGAACTAACTTCTCAGCGACCATGAGTGGGAGTGGAAGTTTTATCTGTTGACAGTAAACATGCCGGAGTGCACAGTTTTGGATGTAAACCGAACCTTGGAACTTCTTTCCATCATTTATTTATTTTCTATTTTAGTTTAAATGAGACATGCTGAGAGTGTTACGTTTGGCTCCCCAACTGTAGCTTGTAAATACAGCTGCTAAATTAACATGTGGTAACTGTTCAAAAGTGTGTTATTTCATTCAGAAATGCAGTAGTGTAGAAGTATAAAGTGACATTAAATGAAATACTAAAGGAGAGAACAATAACGTTAGGTGAATCCCAATTTCCTTATTTTATCTTTCCTGGGCTTCTATCTTCACTTGTCCTGGAAGTTGTCCCCATCTGCCATGATGAAGGACAAGGAGGTTTCCTGGGGGAGCTATGGTCGAGGATACATGAGCGCAGAAGTCTGTTAAGGATTGACACATCCCTTTATCAGTTTGTGATTGGACAGTTCACATTAAGCATCACAGAAAAGGGCATCTCATGTGACTTAAAACGTGTTTTCTCATTCCTCTCTCCTCACAGTTTCTCCTCGCAAATGTTCCTCGTGTCTTACGTTGGCAGGACTAAGGAAAAGATGCAAGGGAGGGAAACATGGATGCAGTTACTGTAATTGAGATTCACCTATTGAGTAGAAGTCACCGTCTACCACTGCAGCATCCACATCATCTCTTTATCCTTATGGCCATGTGGGATACTGTTTACTGTACTTACTGCTCAGAGGAGTCAGTAAAATATGACTTTAAAACACTTTTTTCCAAAGTACTAATATTTTACACACAGGACTTGCGACATTATATTGCACAGGTCACAGGGTTATCACTTGCTCTCGGTGATGAGTGACTAGGGAATACTTTAGGACAAATGTCAAGAAGAGCTGAGTCATGTTGGGATTTAAACTCCTTCTATAAGGGTGGGTGGCTGATATACTGCAGCCCAGTGCAGACATCAGGACTGCCAAATGTAGCTGGGCGCCATTGAAAAACTTTTACAAATTCCTAAACAAAGTACACTGTGATGACTGAAGACACTTTGCTGATATTGGAAATAACATTATGCATCATAAGCTTATGTTTACTGTAAATGTTGAACAGTCTTTTACGTGCAAATATGGGATTAAGTCAGCTTGAGGATTTTTGATAGCAGCCCAGCAGTGATATTTGGCAGCTTTTTATTCTACAACAATCTCATGTTGTTTGCATGAGCTGGATTTGTTTCGCCAATATGAACCTTTATGTGATGCCAATGAAAGCCATTTGAACATGAGTGAGAGAGAAAGGGATGAGAGAGAGCAACAGAGAAAGTGTTTTTGTGCATTTGTGTGATGATTTTTGGACAGAGCATCAAAAACATAGCAAAGCAATAAGACAGCTTGTTCTGTTTGCATCGTATCTCACACAAACAGTTACACAGCGCGTATGCACTCAACTCATCAGCACACACTCAGCAAATTCACACAAACACAGCAAATCATTCATCCGTCTTTAATGCTAGGATGCATAGGAGTTCAGCACCCCTTTGTAAATTGCAGCTGATATATTGTATGTGACATAGAAAAGGTGGAGAGAGCAAGCTGTGAATACAAAAGCAGAGAAAGAGTATGAGTGGGAGAACAGGCAGATGATGAGGACGGGAAGAGAAAGAAGCAAGTGCAAAAGATACAGGAAAAGATGATCAGAAAGTAAAAGAGAGGTCAGATATGGCTCTGTCTCCAGGTGATATTTTACAACTGGCCTGAGTTCCTCTTCTTTTATTTTTATTTTTATGTGCTGTTGCTGTCCCTCTTCAGCATTCTTTTTATTTCCTCCATTTTCTTTATTTTTCCCCTTCTTTTTTTTTGTTAACCATCATTATTCATCCACAGACTTCCATTAAGACAGAGCTAGTCTAAACAGGTTCCTGTCATGTTGTCTGGTCTCATTTACATTTACATTACGTTTTAGGCATGCAGCAGATGCTTCCCACCAGAGTGAGTTTAAAACCAATGCGAGATCTTGAATATGAGCTGGCCAAAAATTGTCATGTATTTTGCTTTTGTGCTTTTTTAGGAGCAGAACAGATCGTGCAGATAGATGAGGCAAAACAATAAGGAATGAGAAACAGAAATGTCAGAACTGAGGACAATTGTCTTCATTAAGTTACTGCACATGCTGTTTTTTATTTCAACCACAACAGCTGTTCCACAATTTTGATATTATGCAAAAAATTTACAGTTACTCCCTGAAGGTTCTCCCTGCGCACAGCATGTTTGAATCTGCTTACAAGTAATACACAATGTTTTGAAAATCCAAACTTTACTACCAAGAGAGGAACAGGAAGTGAAACATAATTCTTGAAACTACTGATGCTAGAACAACAGGTTTCTGTAGTAGAAAATCTGAAGGTCTTGAAACATTACAAAAACAAAAGATGCAGTCGGTCCAGGACAACACTGCGACCTTGCTGAAAAACATGTACACTTTTTCCAGGTAAAGTAGCAAGTAGTAAATATAGCCTATTTATATCCAGCTTTTGATATTTTAGTTAAAAATATGTTAAGAATTATTGTCAAAATATGCAGTATCTTAAGACAACAACAATAAACAATAAGAATAATATTTAGCCTTTAAATAATAGTTTTCCATTACATTGTGAAGTATGTGTTTTTATTAATATGGTAAATATAGCATGAACATCTCATTTTAGTTTTCAGCCATTTGAACTTATATTTGTCATTTAGGCCATTTTAAATTTATCTTAATTTCATTTCAGTCACAGTTCAGTTTGTATGGAGTTGTCATGATTAAAACATCTGTCAGATGAGCGTTCAGATGACAGTCTGTTTGTTATGTGCCGTTCAGTGAGCGAATGAGAAAGAGGCGGACCCAGGTAGCCGACTTCGATGCAAGCAGTGATTTATTATGTACAGTGATGAGGAGAAATAACAAAATGCACAGAGGGAAATAGTGCGTAGTCCTGTCGATGAGTAGTAACCGGGTGTTGACCAACAGCAGGAGGTGAGGTGAGGTGAGGAGATGGAGAGCTGGGCTGAGCTGCGTAGGCTGGGTCACTCCTGGGCTGGTCGGTGGTGATGATGGCTACTGAAGGTGGAGACAGAGAGATGATGACAATAGTAGATCAGATAGGCGACTGAGCATTGACCTGCCTGGGAGGGGAGAGTGGAGCCA